GAAAGAGTGAGAGAAAAGTATTCTTGACAGTGTCTCACCACTGCAATCCTCTACCCCAGCCTTCCAGTTAGCCAGGATTACAGGTATGTTCTACCACACCCAGTCTTTTCAGTTTGGCCCAGGATCCAAACCTGCACCTCCCGTGTGGCCCCAGCTTCACCCAACAGCACACCATTACTTGGGCCTCAATTCTTAAAAGGAACTCAGCTGGAATCCTCCTTAGTAGTGTGCCCTTGGAAAACCAACTCTTAAACCAAGGTAATAAGGAATGAAAGTGTTTTGTGTCTAGTTTTGGTCATATCAAAATTTCTGGTGATAATTCATAAAAATTCTAAGCATATGTGTATTCTTCCTCAGTAAATCTACTTTCAGGAATTTAACCTATAGATATACTGGTATATGTGTTAAAGGGTGAGTGCACGAGTTATTTTTTACAGAATGTTGTATAGTCAGATTAGAAAATAATCCAAATTTTTATTCCTATGGGACTGATTTAACTTATAGAATATTTATCCAATAGACTATTATACAACCATAAAAGAATGAGGAAGCACCCTACAAAGTGATACAGAAATAACTTCAAGATATATAGGTGGTTGAAAAAAAGAAAGTATTAAATGATATTGATAATTAGGTAACTTTTGTGCAAAAGCAGAAACAAGAAAGAATCTCATACTTCCTTACTGAACAAGAAGAGAGTACGAAAGAAACTAAGCACAGTGGTTACCCATGGAGCTGGAAGAGAAAAACATGGTGGATAAGAAACAAGAATGTCTCAAACACGAGAATGTAATAGAAATCAAAACATAAATCAAAAAAAAAAAAAAGCGATATGTCTTAGACTTAAAGGACGTTGTTTATATCAGAACATATTCATAGCAGGACTACACACTTTTCTCCAATCAACAAGAACATCAGAATCTCAAGCAAATGGCCAGGGTTCACAAGAGGACTTTTCCATGTCTTATTAACCTTAAAATGACCCACATTCATAGTAGTTGTCATTCCAATGCAGTGAACTCTGAAGGCTTCAAAGGTGGGCTTTGAACTGGATCTCTACAGCATGCTCTTTTCTCCTTTATTTGGCCTTGAATTTCACTAAGAAGTCTTGCCAAAATGGATTTGAGGTGCTAGAATTGCCTTCCCTGTCTCTCCCATCTAGTGATTCATCCAGGCTCACCCGTCTTACATCCAGGAGAACCATCTTTACTCTCGGCCATTGTTTTTCCTTAGCGGGCCAGTGACCATGGTGGTAAATCACGTCAATGTCTGATTCTAAGTCCCAGAAGCCCAGACTGTTCGCTGTACTCTATTGTCTCAAACTTATCAGCCCTAAGTGATGGCGGTGATGACAGCACATCGCCTAGGAGATAAAGCCAGCACTGGCTAGTGACAAAACGGGTGTTACACAACTACTAATTGATGCATGGTAGCTCTCATTCCCTGATCATGAGATAGCAAATGGAACAAAATTCCTTCAGGACTGCATTTGGATCTGGGAAGATAAAATTCCCAGGCCTAGCTGCCTATTTTGGCTGCCACTTTTGGCACTCACTGCCACTTAAGAACTGTGGCCCACCTCCTTTGGGGGGCTATGCTCCTACAACGTAAGCCTACCTGGCTCTTTGCAATGGCTTTTCTCTTTAAGAGCAAAACATTCCAGGAGCAGATCCATCTGGACTTTCAGCACAGATGGTTCAGCTTAGCAGTTAAACTCAGGATTCTCACCCTGTCCACTCTCCTAAATCTAGTTAAGTCCCTTCTCTCCCCGAGGTAGGGTCTTCCTGACAGCTAATGCTCCCTTCATGCCCTCTTTTCTCTTCCTTTCCTTCCTTGTCCTTCCCTTTTCCTCTTTCTTCCCAAAATTGAGGGAAGTTTCCTTTGCCCTGATAATTTGCACAAAATAGCCCATCAAGCCTGGTTACCCCAAAGAACTAAACCTGGCATCAAGCCTATTCCCAGACTCTCGAGAAATGAACAAGAACTGGGCCATTTCTCCTCCAGAGTCCTTGCTGTCTCACCCCTTGGGAACTAGTGCCTGCACGTCAGTTATGGAGTCGGGCCCTGGCACAGCTGTGTCTGTGCACCTCCGATCCTTCCTCTGCTCTCCACAACTCTTAAATGTGCCTTTTTCAGGAACTCAAGCACAGCCATTAAAAGAAAAGAACTGAAGAAGGCAAGCTGACTGTGGAAGCAGCTTTGATAATGCATTTGTGAGTCTCTCAGTTCTAAACAATAAAGTCTGCTTACTTAGACCAAAAATGTTTTGATTTTTAAAAAATCCTTAACATTAATCATGGCAGAGGCCAGCAGGTGGTGTGGTGGTTAAGGGCGCTGGACTCCCACGTGGCCAACTGCAGTTCGAGTCCTGGACCTGTAGGCTTGCTTTCTCATCCACTCCACCCTCCATCCCCTCTGGTCAAATTAATATAAATAAAGGGACCAGTAGTTAGCATAATGGCTATGTCGCTGGACTCCCATGTAGCCGACCGCTGTTCGAGTCCCAGACACGGTAGCTTAAACTCATGCCGAGCGTGTGGCATGTGCATGCCCAAGATCCCAAGAGGAGAATGGAGGAGAAGGGATTGCGGCATAGCCATCTCCCCTGGGGGGGTGATTTCTCGCTTTCTATCTCTCTGTCTTTCTGTCTTTCTGGCGAGCACACATGCTCTATAGCAAAAACCTCTCCAAAAATAATAATAATAATAATAATTAATAATTAATAACATTAAAAGAAAATAATTATTTTAAAAATATATTAATAATGGATCGGGACCAGCAGATGACATAATGGTTACATTGCTGGACTCCCACGTAGTTGATTCCCAAACCCAGGGGCTTAAAACTCACACTGGGGGAACCAGCAGTTAGCGTAATGGCTATGTCGCTGGACTCCCACATAGTCGACCACGGTTCGCGTCCCGGACCTGGTGGCTTAAAACTCATGCCGGGCGCGTGTGCGTGCATGCCCAAGATCCCAAGAGGAGAATGTAGGAGAAGGGATTGCGGCGTGACCATCCCCTCTGGGGGGTGATTTCTCGCTTTCTGTACCAGCCGATGACATAATGGTTAAGTCTCTGGACTCCCACATAGTTGATTGTAGTTCAAGTCCCAAGACCCAGCAGAATAAAACTCACACTGGGCCCTTGTGTGTGCATGCCCAAAGTCCCAAGGAGAGAATGGAGGAGAAGGGATTGCAACGTGGTCATCCCCCTGGTGGTGGTGGGGGGTGATTTCTCCCTTTCTCTCTCTCTGTCTCTACGGCTAGTGCATGTGTCCTATAGCAAAAATCTTTCTCTTAAAAAAAAAAAAGTATATTAATAATGATTCGAACCAGTAGATGGCATAATGATTACATCACTTGATTCCCATATGATCAAGTGTAGTTCGAATCCTGGACCTGGAGACTTGAAACTCATGCCAGGCATGTGTGCGTGTATGGCAGGCATGTGTG